TTTTTATTTTGTAGAAACTCAGGGAAACTGCATTGCTTCTATCCCCTCTTTCTACCACAGACACCCTGTGCCATGGATCTGTTCAAATTGCACCTGTATCCCTCTTTTCTGTGATCCCCGATGGTGCACAGAAGACCTCATCACCTCAGCTGACACAGAGTGCTTTTACTGATCGCCTTTATAGCTCTCTTGTGGCTTTTCTGGCCTGGCATCCTTAGCTCTCAGGACAGCCAGCCTCATCGTAGATGTTTAATTATCAATTATCTCCAGTGCACAAACTATTGCTATTTGTGCCATGACAATATTCGCCTGAGAATTTTACTTATTTCAGCAGTTGGTAGGACAAATAGGTGTTCATCACCAAATGCACTGGCACAACCATTACATTTAGTGGCATAGATTCTTTTTCTCCTGTAATTTTGTTTCTTAGTTTGAAGTATTATACTACTACAGCTTTGTACAAGTTGCCTCTTCAACTAAAAGTGTTTGTGTTGACATAGCTTATCTTCTTCTGAAACAAGTTAAGGTTACCTTGTGCATATTAAATTTTAGACTGATATATGTATCTCCCCCACAGGAAAGCTCTATAAATCAACTCTTGCTGTAGGCAAGACCCAGGTCAGCATAAAAGACTACTGTTTGCAGCAGTAGTCTTGATATGTGAACTCAAATGCATGTTATTCAGAAAACAAAACATAATATGGAACGCAAATGCCTATATATGTGAGAAATCCTGTTTCTCTGCATATATCTTAGACTGTAACATATACTTACTATATCATGTAAAAGTATATATCATGTAAAATGTAAAAGTAACTAGTCAGTATATATTAATCTAATTCAGGTGAATGTATGTATATAACAATGTATTTCTCAAAAACTTTATTATTTTTACATTTTCCTATCAACTGATATATAAACCATTAGGTTCCAGAAGTACCGATTATGTAAGTAATTTATATAAGTAATGTGATTGTTGACACACCTAATAACCAGCAATGTTTCCTATTGAATAAAAGCAAGTATTCTGACTTGGAAAGAAAGGTTAAAAATAATATAACTGAAAGCTGTGATTTTGAGTCAGAATTGAGGCTGTTAATATTAAGTGAATTCTGTGCTTTCTTTTAATTCAGAATTAAGGAGTCTTTCCCTTAGTAAAATTCTGTTCAAATCATGTTGCCAAGACCTACATGAACAGACAGCAGCAGCATCCAATAATAATGTAGGAAAAAATCTACATGGCTGAAGACTACTCTGGCTGATGTTTCCAAAAGTTATCCATAGCCCTGCTTCCACCTCTTATTTAATCTGATAAGAATAATTCACTAGGTCATCATGTGGCCATTTTAAAATTTTAAGATGTCCTTAAATTAATTATTTTATTAGTTGTAAGTACTTGTAATTGCTTTCGTAAGATTACTTAACCATATTTTGACACCTTGTTTACTCTTGGAAATGTTTGGGTTTCTTTTTTTGAATGAGTCTGATAACTCAGCAGGACTGTTTCTAAGAAATCATTTCCATATTCATAAAGAAAAGCTTTTGGAATACATTTTCTTGGAAATAACCAATATGCACTAGCTAGAGTAAAAATGTCTGTTCGTATGATTGATTTATATGATTTATATTTTGATTTATATGATTTATATATGATTTATATTTTGCTTTATGGCAGCATGGCAGCACTGGTCCATTTCTCAGGAATGTCCCTTTCTTGCATGCAGTTTGACCAGCAGTCACAAATAGTAATATTTGAGGCAGTGCCCTGAAGTTTGGGTTGGATGTGCTGATACATATAACCCATGAGACAATATTAAGGAGGGAAAGAGGTGGTACTCAAAAAAAAAAAAAAAAAGTGTGCATCTGGAGAAGCACACACATACTGGAATTGCAGTGGAAGCCATCAGCATTCAGCAGGAGAGATTAACATACTTGATCCAGATGATCTTGTAACAAAAGAGGGCACTCAGGGGCCAGACAGCAAAGAAACCTTATCACATTATACAATGAGGGAAAATTATTCAAATATGGGTAGAATCCTCTCATAAACTGGATACAGGTCATAGCTGAGAGCTAGTGAGCCTGGGTTTCATCCATGCAAAAAAAGAAAGTCCAGCCACTTTAAAACAATCGTTACAAATATGCTCAAGCCAACTTATCTGAAATATTTGAAGTAACATCCCTGTGTAGGCAGGACTTCATTATGTTACTTATTATTGTTTTCAGGGAGTCATCACCTGCTCTTTAAAGCAAAACATACATTATGAGACAGAATGATTGCTCATTATTGTTATATTCCTTAATTGCCTTCTATATTAGTGCATTCAAAGGAATGTATTTTTCCTCTTCTGTCCTTCTCTGCCTTCATCCAACAGCACTCAGCATTTTCCAGAGCTCAAAATTGCTCACATTCTTACAAAAATGCCTCAGCCATATGCGATTTGCTGAGATGAAATAAAAAGTGCATGACTTGAGAAAATGCAATACTTTCTCCTGCATATTGATTCTATGGCTGCTGTATAAACAGGAACTGTCCATTACAAGAACTTCCACTGACTTTTTCTTGTGTTGGAACTCATGTTCTGCATAAGCCAGGTGTGACAGGAGCTCACCTGTCAAGAAAGTATGACGTTGCATTAAAGGGTTGGCATGAACTTTGACGCTTGTAAATATATTGCGCCAGCCAAGCTCCAGCTGCAACCTTGCAATTTTCCAGACAGATATATTTCCTTTTGCCAAAAGGAATGTGAGCTACTGCAGCTAATTTTATGCTATATAAATAATGCTGATAGAGAGACAAGTCTGAGATTAGATAGGCAAAGTAATAGCTTAAGTAGGAAAGTCAAAGCATTTATTAATCAGAAATATGAATTATGTTCCTTAAGGAGCTGAGGGAACCAGCTGTAATGAGGACAAATGAGAGATCTGAGAATAATTAGATCAGTTTTGCATATAGGCAGCACTGTAACTGAGACTCTTTATGACAGAGATGCTTGTACAGAGAAATTTGGCTCTTATATTCTGATAGAGAACATTCCCTCTTAGCTTGTGCTTGACACGCCGACAGAAGGAAAGGAATGTTGTGCTGTGTGCCTTGTGCTGCTCTGCCCTCTTTCCCCTCTGCTCTTTCTTTCCCCTATCACTCTGTACCATGACTGGACCAGGCCAAGAGCCACTATGGGTCAGGAACATATCCACGGGGATCAGGGACCAAGCTGGTATGCTAACTATATTTTATAGATTAACCAAGACACCTAAAGCATGGAAAGATACTTTTCTATTTTAATAACCATTTTTTTATTCTTCCATATGAATTTAAAAATTGTACTATGTTTTCCTTGGCAACATTTTAAAATCATTGGTACATCAGTGTATGAATACGAGAATTTCCTGCTAACAAGCCAGACATGGAATTAAAGCCCTGGGTAGACCCATTTTGTTTTACTCCTAATAATCCAGCATTTGTGGGTTTTAAGGAATGATAAATTGCCTCTTCTTAAATAGGTTATATTAAACTGTAGCCAGTCAGCTCTGGTAGGTTCTATAGTTTGCTAAAGCAAATAAATCAGGTGTTGATTTTTATTTCAAATTACTTTCTTTATTTTTTTTTCTCCTGTTTACTTTTTTTATGTTGCTACCATACTTAGAAAAATTAATTTTTGCATGGAAAAATTCTGAAGCATGGAAAGCTTCAGAACTGATCTGCCCCAAACATTTCCACTGATAGTGTATTGTGTCATGCATGCCTGAAGTGTTTCTAATTTGTTTTATGCAAACCTTCATGCTGTACTGTGCAGTTGTCAGATTGTCATGGGAAGAAGGTAGTATATACTCAGTGTTCTGTGTGGTTTTAGTCCATGCCTAGCAGTTTTTCTCCTCATTAATACACAAACCAGTGTAAAGTCTAAAAGCCACAGAATTTGAAACTTTTAGGTGTTTATATTTGCATGGAATCCCATGAAAGTACCCTGGTTTCCAAAACAACTGAGCATGTGCAACTTCTCCTGAGTTCAATGAAAATCCATGTTCTCTGAAAGAC